CTTAATCTGCTTTGTCGCCTCACACAACTTAGAATGTATTTAGAGTTGTATGCATTAACGAATTCCTTAAATAAAATTCATCTACAATCCAGAAAGTTAATCGTTGGTCAGAAAACAGGATTCTCGATAGGTTCGATGTTTTCACGAGCACAGGAAGTTGACAGACGTCCTGAACATTCATAAAACTTAAGTCTTTACAGCTTCCATCGAAATGCATAGTCTACCCTTAAACAACTGTTTTCTTGAATACGTTATCTGCATAAACATTCATCGAAGTTTCACAGATTTTCTGATAGAATTTTTTTCAATCTCACCAACACGAGCTCAACGTACTTACTGCAAAATCCTATATATATATATATATATATATATATATATATATATATATATATATATATATATATATATATATATATATATATATATATATACGCCTGTTACCCCTAATGAAGCATAGGCCGCCGACCAGCACTCGACCCTGTCCTGGGCCTCCTTTTCTGGTTCTACCCAATTATTATTCATTCTTCTCATGTCTATCTCTAACTTTCGGTTCACTGTGTTCTTTGGTTTATCTCTTTTCCTTTAGCCTTGAGGGTTCCAAGTTAGGGTCCGCCTCGTGATACAGTTGGGTGACTTTTGAAACTTGTGTCCTATTCACTACCAGCGCTTCTTCCTGATTTCTCCTCCAGCTGGAATCTGCTTTGCTCTATCACACAGTAAATGGTTGCTGATGATGTCTGATTATCAGGTGCACAGTATCTTGCGTAGACAACTGTTAATCGACACCTCTATCTTGTGGATGATTGCTTTTGTAGTTTTTCAAGTTTCTACTGCATACAGAACTGTCTTGATATTCACATTGAAAATTGTGACTTTGGTGTTCATTGACGGTTGCTTTGAGTTCCGGATGATCTTCATTTGTGGAAATACTGCTCTTGCTTTGCTAATCCATGTCTTTACATCTGCATCAGACCCAGCCCGCTCATCAGTGATGCTGTGCAGATATGCAAACGTTTCTACACCTTCCAAAGCTTCTTCAAGTGGGATTTGGTTGCAGCATCTTGTGTTGTATACGAGTATCTTGCTTTTTCCCTTTTATATGTTGAGACTTACTGCTACAGAGGCCGCTACTCACTGGCCGTCTTCTGTATTTGTTGTTCCATATTGGATAAAAGGGCTAGGTCATATGTGAAGTCCAAATCATCCAGCTGCCACTGAGCTGTCCAATGTGTCTAATGCGTCGTCCCCTCAGATGTTGACGTCTTCATAATCCAGTGAACCACCAAAAGAAGAAGAAAGAGTGAGAGTAAGCAACCTTGTCTGACACCGACCTTCATTTGGAGCAAGTCTGTTAGCTGTCTTCCATGCACGATGTTGCAGTTTAATCCACCGTAAGAATTCCGTATGATGTTGGCGATCTTCTCAGGCACATTATAATATCGAGGTAGACTACAATGTCAACCTGTTCATGCTGTTAAGTGCTTTCTCGTAGTCACTGAATTTTTACAGTGGTGAATTCCATACATTTGATTGTTCCATAGTGAACCGTATTGTCAACGTCGAACATCGCAGTCCCTGTTATGTCCGCCTTAAGGGCGTCCGCTGGTATATTGTTTGCTTTTCCGCTCTTGATTTGTCTGATGAGCATTCTGATCTCTTCACTTGTTGTTGGGTCAACACTAATTGGGTGGTGCGTAAGTGCTGCTCCAGTGTTGGGTGGTTTCAGTATTGCTAATCTACTCAAGAGTTTTTCAAAGTGTTCTACCCACCTGTTTCGCGTTCCTCATTGTTGGTGATAACTTTACCTCCCTTACTTTTCACTGGTCGTCCTGGTTTGCCACATTATCCAGCAAGCTTCTTCACTGAATCATATACTTGTCTCATATTTCCTCCTCTTGCAGCTTTTTCAGCTACCACCGTTAACCGTTCCACATACGTCCGTCCATCTGCTTTCATGCTTCTCTACAGCTGTTTGTTTGCTTCTGTTTATTCAGCTCATGCCTTGTCTCCCTCTGCTCTTGTTTGGCTGATGTCCATTGCTGCCTTCCTGTTCTTCTTTTCTTCAATCTTATCCCCTCCCAGTCGTTCCCCATGTTAGTTACCTCTTCACTGAGTAGATCGTGAAAGGCTTGAGACATATTGCCGAGGGCTATCTCAAATTCGTCGAGTTTTCCAGTATCCCGAAGAAAGGCCGTATTGAACTTTTGTGATGCCGTTTGACCATTTGTCCGGTACGTTTTTAGTTTCACTTTCATCTTGGCCACTACCAAGTAGTGATCTGAAGCTATGTCGGCTCTTCTCTTGGTCCTCACGTCCTCGATGATCATTCTGAACCTTTTATTGATGCAGATGGGGTCAATTGTTATTGCTGATAGGCGCATAGGACTGAATGATATTCATTGTGACCCCCTCTTTCTCCATCTTGAAGGATGCTTCAATGATCCTGGGTCCATGAGATTCCCACCTTGTAAGTGCTTTTAGTGCTCCTTTGGATAGCATCAGCGCACTTTTATTTTTTTAAATTGGAATCGTGAACCAATTATTGTTAGACCACTGTTAGAAACCTGGAAGCACTGAACGACCATTCCACCCTGGTGTAGAACTCTTCAGCAGTGCGCATCCACGACCCCCTGTTCACGAACGCTTAAACTCTAGACCACTAAGCCGGCATCTGATGGTGTTAGCGTCTAACTTTGATTGATTCACGATTCTGATGTAAGACGACGATCTAAATAACTCTAATCAAAAAACTTATATTACTGATATACTATATATAAAAATATTTCCTATTAACCAAGACAGTCTTGTGACTCAAGTAGACCTCGGGTGCATTATCGAGGAGAATTCAACCGCTGCTTCGTAGAATCTAACACAATCTTCCTCATTTATCTCGGCTTGATATATATAGTATATCAATTATATATATATATTGTAAATGAGGCTTTTTCTCTGCATAAACGTTTGTTATACAAAATTGTTTTGTTGACTTTCTTCGACCAATCATTACTTATCGCATCTTTCCTCGTACACATTTATTTTCAAGGTTTGGGCTAAAGAACAACATGGCATATCAAAATCTGAACCTACATATTATGTTAATCGTAAGATGAAAACGGTGTGTGATGTGAACAATTCTTCAGAATCATTCACAAAAATAATTGAAGCTGTCCCTGGAACCTATTTACCTTTACATGTAAATGGTACAGAATTTCAAAACACAGATATGTTAGTTCCTTGGAAGAAAAAAAACTGCAAACAGTTAAAAGGTAAATATCCATTAACTATCGTTACTAATTAAAGATAAAACTATTCATTATACTAATTGTAAATTTAATTCTAATTTAGTATGACCACTTCTTTTGTTCACGTAATTCTTTAAACTTTCGAGTGTTTATAGAGTTGATAGTTGATCGATCGTCTTATTGGTTAATTTCACTCTTGAGCTACTATATCGTTTTATTTTATCTGTAATTCTAGTTATGATATTCAGATTAGTCTTTGATTGATGCCTATTACGTCATTATCAGTCTAATTAATTCAGCATACACTATTTCATGATTTTTATAAAATTGCAATAGGCGAACTAATGATTTTACCAATTCAGTAATTAATATAAACTCAGCAATATATGGCTTTATTGAAAATCGAAATTGAGGCTAGTATTGAGAGAAATAATAACTAAACCAACTTTTGGCGATAGTGCAGGTCGGTGATTAAGTCATTAGGGAACCATAATCATTTGAGAAATAGTTAAGAATAGTTTCGTTGGTTTTTGAAGTAATTATAGCTACTAGTTGTTTAGTTTTGTCCTCTATGATACATAAAACAACATCTGTTCCCGACAGTTTAACTCCAGAAACTTCCGAAAATGGTAGTTCATGACTGCGAATTAGATGAACTGTAAAAACCAATGATTCTTAACTAGAAAGTTGCTGTCACTTAGTGAACTATTGGTGAGGCAGTTATAATTGTAAATCTAAAGTACTAACTAAAGTGCGTAGACTGTATATTAAGATGGAGAAGTTATGTAAAGTTTAAACTAAATGGAACATGTGTAATAAATAACATTCCCGAACAACTGATGGTAACCTCAAGATGCTTGATTAAAACTTGAGAAGTAGAATGGTGGAAACTACTTCATGATAATTGAACGAAGATATGTGATATCACTTTATGTGGTCTCTACTAGTTGTGTCGATGTAATACATGCAGAAAGCTATAGGGTTTTACACTGTGAACTAACTAAAACTAGGTAACTACAGGTTATTGGTGGACTAGTGTAAAATCAGCTGTAATAGCCTGGATGCTATTATCTACATGTTTTAAATCAATAGTCACTGTCTTTTTCATATCCTTTTATCTCCTTATGGTGATTTGTCCTCTTCGTTACTCTCTGTCTCCATTTCATTACCACTGTTATTACTATATTCGTTTTTTGTTTTTCACGTTATTACTGTCCACTTTTCTGTTCTACCCTCTCTCTCTCTCTCTCTCTCTCTCTCTCTCTCTATATATATATATATATATATATATATATATATATATATATATATATATATATATATATATGTAACATTCAGTCAGTCAGTTACAACGTAGAACTTCATACGTAAGTACATCAGTTCAGGTTGCCATACCAAATTAACACAGAGACACAATTGTCAATTCAAATCTCAAAGTAGTAGAGATAGTAAACATATTGGCAATAATCAGAGAGATAAGGGTTCGACGATATTATTCAAGAAGTAGAATCTAGTTAAATAAACCTAATAATAAAAAGATAATGTGATTAAGTATTAAAAAGTTTAGGATTTGAGAGAACACAAAGAATGAATTCACGTGCGCGATTGCAAACGATTTTGAGCCATGTCGTTCAGGGTCTCTAACCATCAATTACTATCGTCTTGCGGACCCAAACCAGGTAATTTACATCTACCAACATGACTCAGTCCACTTGTCAGTGACTTCATGGACTAGTGCCATGTTTTGGTTTGGCCGCTCGTAGCGTCCTTCCAACGAGCGACAT